TGGGGTAAAATGGGGGGAATGGAAAAATCGGGGGGGGAAAGGGAAAAATAGGTGGGAAAGGGGAAAAATCAGAGGGAAAATGGGAAAAACAGGAGTGGGGGACATGGGGAGGGGAAAAGGGAACAGTCATGGGGAAACCAGGGGAAAAAGGGAAAAATTCGGGAGAAAAACACGAGGAAAAATAGAAAAATTGGGGGGAAATCGGGGAGAAATAGGAAAAATCGGGGGGGAATGGGAAAAATTGGGGGGAAAAGGGAAAAATTGGAATGGGGACATGGGGAGGGGAAAAGGGGAACAATTGTGGGGCAAACAGAGAGAAATGAAGGAAAAATGGATTAAAAACTGAAATTATCCCCCTGGAATTGTAAATAAAGCAACAAAAGTGTAAAAATTCTGGGAAAGTGAGTTCAGAACTGACTCCCAAATTCTTGCGTTTCCCCCAAAATCCCCAAATTTTCCCATAAAACCCCCAAATATCCCCCTAAATCCTCAAAATTCCAAATAAATCCTCAAATTTCCCTCTAGATCCTCACATTTTCACCTAAAATCCCCAAATTTCCACCTAAAACCCCAAACTTTCAACAAAAACCTCCCAGATTTCCAACTAAAATGACCAAATTTCCACAAAATTCCCCAAATTTCCCCAAATCCCAGGTGCCCACCTTCCCCACGGGCACCCAGGTGAGGTTGGGCACCTGCAGCTCCACGTTCCCCCCTTCATAACCCCCAAATTTCCACCTAAAACCTTCCTGAAACCCCCAAATTTCCACATAAAATCACTGCAAAACCCTCCTGAACTCCAAATTTCCACCTGAAATGCCTCCATTTCCCCCTGAACCCCCAAATTCCCCCCAAATTTCCCCAAATCCCAGGTGCCCACCTTCCCCACGGGCACCCAGGTGAGCTTGGGGACGTGCAGCTCCACGTTCCCCCCTCATAACCCCCAAATTTCCACCTAAAACCTTCCTGAAACCCCCAAATTTCCACATAAAATCACTGCAAAACCCTTCTGAACTCCCAAATTTCCACCTCAAATGCCTCCATTTCCCCCTGAAGCCCCAAATTCTCCCCAAATTCCCCCCAAATCCCAGGTGCCCACCTGCTCCTCGCTCTCCACGGGCACCCAGGTGAGGTTGGGCACCTGCAGCTTCACATTCCCCACTCAGAACCCCCAAATTCTCCCCAAATTTCCCCAAATCCCAGGTGCCCACCTGCTCCTCGGGCACCCAGGTGAGGTTGGGCACCTGCAGCTCCACGTTCCCCACTCAGAACTCCCAAATTTCCACCTGAAATGCCTCCAATTTCCCCTGAATCCCCAAATTCTCCCCAAATTTCCCCAAATCCCAGGTGCCCACCTGCTCCTCGCTCTCCACGGGCACCCAGGTGAGGTTGGGCACGTGCAGCTCCACGTTCCCCACTCAGAACCCCCAAATTTCCACCTGAAATGTCTCCATTTCCCCCTGAACCCCCAAATTCCCCCCAAATTTCCCCAGATCCCAGGTGCCCACCTGCTCCTCGGGCACCCAGGTGAGCTTGGGGATGTGCAGTTCCACATTCCCCCTTCTGAACCCCCAAATTTCCACCTGAAATGTCTCCATTTCCCCCTGAACCCCCAAATTCCCCCCAAATTCCCCCAAATCCCAGGTGCCCACCTGCTCCTCGGGCACCCAGGTGAGGCTGGGCACCTGCAGCTCCACGTTCCCCACTCAGAACCCCCAAATTTCCACCTAACACCTTCTTGAAACCCCCAAATTTCCACATAAAATCACTGCAAAACCCTCCTGAACTCCCAAATTTCCACCTAACACCTTCCTGAAACCCCCAAATTTCCCCAAATCCCAGGTGCCCACCTGCTGCTCACTCTCCACGGGCACCCAGGTGAGCTTGGGCACCTGCAGCTCCACGTTCCCCACTCAGAACCCCCAAATTTCCACCTGAAATGCCTCCAATTTCCCCTGAATCCCCAAATTCTCCCCAAATTCCCCCCAAATTCTCCCCAAATTCCCCCGAATCCCAGGTGCCCACCTTCCCCACGGGCACCCAGGTGAGGTTGGGCACCTGCAGCTCCACATTCCCCACTCAGAACCCCCAAATTCCCCCCAAATTCTCCCCAAATTCCCCCAAATCCCAGGTGCCCACCTGCTCCTCGCTCTCCACGGGCACCCAGGTGAGGTTGGGCACCTGCAGCTCCATGTTCCCCACTCAGAACCCCCAAATTCTCCCCAAATTTCCCCAAATCCCTGGTGCCCACCTTCCCCATGGGCACCCAGGTGAGGTTGGGCACCTGCAGCTCCACGTTCCCCACTCAGAACCCCCAAATTTCCACCTAAAACCTTCCTGAAACCCCCAAATTCCCCCCAAATCCCAGGTGCCCACCTGCTCCTCGCTCTCCACGGGCACCCAGGTGAGGTTGGGCACCTGCAGCTTCACATTCCCCACTCAGAACCCCCAAATTCTCCCCAAATTCCCCCAAATCCCAGGTGCCCACCTGCTCCTCGCTCTCCACGGGCACCCAGGTGAGCTTGGGCACGTGCAGCTCGTCGCTGCCGGGCGCCAGGCGCCGGATCTCCAGCTCGGAGCCGCGCTGCCCGGGCGCCAGCAGCAGGTCGCGCAGGTTCTCGTTGTAGATCTCCAGGAAGCTGGCGGAGAAGCCGTACTGAGGCCGCGGCGGCCGTGCCCGCCGTGCCCCTCCCGGCGCCGTGCCCGCTGTGCCCGCGGGGCCGGGCTCACCTGCCAGCCCTTGGCCGCCAGGTCGCGGGCGCCGCGGAAGAGGTGGCGCACGGCGCGCGGGATCATCCCGCGCGAGGCCGGCGCGCCCGCCGGCGCCGGGCCCTCCATGGTGAAGGTCTTGCCGCTGCCCGTCTGCCCGTAGGCGAAGATGCACACCGGGTACCCGTCCAGGGCCGACTGGCAAAGGAATTTTGGGAATGCTCAGGGCGGGTGGGATGGGCACAGGGGTTTGGGATGGGCACAGGGGGCACAGGGGTTTGGGATGGGCACAGGGGTTGGGAATGGGCACAGGGGGCACAGGGATTTGGGATGGGCACAGGGGTTTGGGAATGGGCACAGGGAGCACTGACCCATCCACGGCCAACTGGGAATGGGCATTCAGGAATTCTGAGGGGTCTGGGAATGGGCACAGGGGTTTGGGAATGGGCACAGGGGGTTGGGATGGGCACAGGGGGTTGGGATGGGCACAGGGGTTTGGGAATGGGCACAGGGGGCACAGGGATTTGGGATGGGCACAGACCTGTCCAGGGCTGACTGGCAAAGGGATTTTGGGAATGCTCAGGGGGGTTGGGAATGGGCACAGGGGTTGGGAATGGGCACAGGGGTTGGGAATGGGCACAGGGGGTTGGGAATGGGCGCAGGGGGTTGGGAATGGGCACAGGGGGTTGGGAATGGGCACAGGGAGCACTGACCCGTCCAGAGCCGACTGGCAGAGGGATTTT